TGTGTTTAGGTCTCTGATCCATTTTGAGTGGATTTTTATACATGGTGATAGGTGGGGGTTCAGTTTCATTCTTCTTCATGTGCTTAGCCAGTTTTCCCAGCACCATTTGCAAAATATGGTCTTCTTTCCCCAATAATGGTTATTGGTGGCTTTGTCAAAGATGAGTTAGTTGAGAGACTGTGTTTTTACTTTCAGAATCTCTGTCCTGTTCCATTTGCCTATGTGCCTATTCCTATACCGATATCAGACCATCTTGGTTACTGTAGCTTTGTAATGAAGTTTAAAGTCTGAAAGTGTGATTCCTCCTGCTTTGCTCCTTTTGCTGAGGATTGTTTTGGCTATTTGTGTTTTTTGTATGTTTGTTTCCATATGAATTTCTGTATTGTTGTTTACAGGTCTCTGAGAAATGATGTTGGTAATTTGTTGGGTATTGTATTGAATCTGTAGATTGCCTTGGGTAGGAAGGACATCTTGACAGTATTGATTCTTCCAATCCATGAACATGGGATTTTTTTTTTCCATTTGTTGTGCCATCCTTGATTTCTTTAAGCAGCATTTTGTAGTTTTTGTTGTAAAGGTCTGGTTAGGTGGATGCCAAGGTATTTCATTTTTTTGGTAGCTATTGTGAATGGGATTGTACTCTTTATTTGGGTCTCCACTTGCCAGTTGCTAATGTATAGGAATGCAACTGTCTTTTTCACACTGATTTTGTAACCCAAGACTTTACTAAAGTCATTTATCAGTGCAAAGTTTTTGAAAGACATCTTAGGGTTTTCAAGGTATAGAATCATATTGTCAGCAAAGAGGGAAAACTTAGTTTCCTCTCTTCCTATTTGGATACCCCTGAGTTCCATCTCTTGCCAGACTGCTTTGGCTAAGGCTTCCAGCACTACATTGAATAGGAGAGGTGAGAGTAGGCATCCTTGTCTTGCTTCAGTTCTTAGGGGGAATGCTTCCAGCTTCTGCCCATTGAGCAAAAATGTTGGCTGTGGGTTTATTGAAGATGGCTCTCACTGTTTTGAGGAATGTTCCTTCTATGCCTAGGTGCTCAAAGGTTTTTAATCAAAAAGGAATGCTGGATTTTGTCAAATGCTTTTTCTGTGTCTAATGAGACAACTATGTGGTTCTTGTTTTTACATCTGTTATTGTGCTGAATTATGTTTATGGTGTTTCAAATGTTGAACCAGCCCTGCATCCCAAGAATGAAGTCCGCCAGATCATGGTGGATGATCCTTGAAATGTGTTGTCGAATCCAATTTGCTAGAATCTTATTGAGAATTTTTGTGTCTATGTTTATCAAAGAGATTGACCTGTAATTTTCTTTCCTTGTTGGGTTTAAATATCAGTATGATATTAGCTTCATAAAATGAGTTGGGAAGAATTCCATCACTCTCAATTGCCTGGAATACTTTCAATAAAGAATGGTATCAGCTCCTCCTTGTATGTCTTGTAGAGTCAGCTGGGAAGCCATCTGTCCTGGGCTTTTTTTTTTTTTTTTTGGTAGGGAAGTTTCTTATGACTGTCTCAATTTTCCAAATTGTTATTGGTTTATTTTGAGTTTCAATTTCTTCTTGTTTCAACCTTGGGAGGTTGTATGATGTTAGAAAGGTTTGCATTTTCTTTAGATTTTCTAGTTTATTTGCGTACAGGTGTTTATAGTGATCTCTGATAATCTTTTATGTCCAAGAATGTGATCTATCTTGGAATATGTTCCATGTGCTGATGAGTAAAATGTATACTCTGTAGATGTTGGGTGGGCGTGTTCTGTAGATGTCTATTAAATCCATTTGATCATGTGTCAAGTTAAGGTTCTGAATCTCCTTGTTGGTTTTTTGCCTCGATGATCTTAAGGCCCTTGATTGTGTGAGTGCCAATGTCCTCTCTTAGCTTATTTAGTAGTTGTTTTATAAAACTATTTGGTGTTTATTGGTTACTATTGGGTACATGGACTGTGCAGCTTTTAAACTTCCTTTATGTTTTCTAAATCTTTGCCAATTGTTTGGCTTGTGTTAGTCTTGATGGTTTAATGACAAAATTAATATATTTTGCATTTTTATCCCATTAGTGATTATTTTAAAAGTTTAACATACAAAATTTTATTTAACTAAAACTTCAGTTAATTGTATTGTTATTCTCCTCTCAGAACCAGGAGCTTCAGTACGTTTCAGAGAGTCATAAAAAACCCTTCCCCCAAAAAAATCTAGTTACGGTGATTGAGAGTTTCACTTCTGCTTTTAGAACATACACAGTAATCTTTTTTTAACTTTCAAGAGTAAAAAATTTTGGCTTGGTGGCTCACACCTGTAGTCTCAGCACTTTGGGTGGCTGAGGTGGGAAGATCACTTGAGCCCAGAAGTTCCAGACCAGTCTGGGCAACTAAAAATCAAAAATTATCCAGGCATGGTGGCACACACCTGTAGTCCCAGCTACTCAGTAGGCTGAGGCAAGAAAATTACCTGAGTCCAGGATGTCGAGGCTGTGGTGAGTTGTGATTGTGCCACTGCACTCCAGCTTGGGCAACAGTGAGACCCTGTCTCAAAAAAAATGAGCAACAACATTGTTAACAGTTTCAGCTCTACATCTCTGTATATCTAAAAACATCTTTAGTTTTCCCTTCTCTACTGAATAGAGAAAACTATACTGATAGTTTAACTAGGTATTTTTGCAATATATTACATTATAGTAAGTTCCCCTAGCACTTTAAAAATGTTACCTTTTAATATCTATTATCTGTTATATATGTCACTCCTTGATATACACTGTTTTATTTGGGTTGTTTTAAGATTTTCTTTTAGATTTGATATGTTTCCGTTTTATTGTGATATGTTCATGTATAGTTTTAATTTTAGTCTATTTTGCTGAGGGCTGACTTTTGATTCGACGACTTATTTTTTTTTTTCAGATTGTAGAAAACCCAACTATGATGGTTTCAAATATTGCTTCTCTAACAATCTTTTATTCTCCTCTATTATTTTGAAATTTTTATTAATTGTTTTGATCTCTTCATCTTCCATCTTCATCTATTTATCTATATTCCTTTTGTCTGTCTGCACTGTATTCTGGGGAAAGTCTTCAGTACTATAAATCAGTTCACTGGTTCTTTTTTTATTGTGTCTAGAATTTTTTCATTTATTAAGATTATTTTTTGTTTTGATTACTATGTCCTTTTTTTTCCTAAGATAGTTTTTTCTTATTGTTTTTTCCCATCCATTTCTTCTTATGGCACTTCAGTAAGTTTTTATACTTTTATATGGCTGTGACATATTTGAACAACCTAATCATAAGTAATTTTAATCATAATTAATTTAAAGTAATTCTTAGATAACTCATAAAATTAATTTATTCTCAAGTGAATTGACATTCTGATTGTTAATTTCCTCAGCCATCCTCATACCCGTGCTGACGTCAGACACTGAACCTGACTTAGGCTCTAGTTTTACAGAACACTCATGGTCTTACTAGCTTGCTAGGAGTTGAGATCCCACTGCCTTGCCATGTTTTAATATAGCTAATAAGCCCATAGATTCAGTTCTGCTCACTTGCTTACATTTCTGCTCAACTTTTTGTCTCTAGAAATCTATTTATCAATCATACATTTTTATTTCCTTTTTCTTTCTTTCTATGTATTATTTTCCTAAACAATAACAATAAAATTTTGGTGTGATTTTAGCAGCAAAGGGGAACACAAAAGCATGAACTACATCATGTTGATTAAAAGTAAAAGTTTACTTCATAAAAGTAATTTCTCACATTTCCAAAATGCCTACCTGCTCCTATGGTCAGAATCATATACAATTTCGGAACAATAGTAGCATAGCTTAGTATTTTCCTGATATGCTTTTTTTCTTTTCTGTTTAAATATTAAAATATGCAGCATGACTTTTGTGAACATATATTTGTTCATTTCTCTAGTAATATTTTTTGAAGACACACTATATGTCCTGTACTATTCTAAGTGATAGAAAAACAGTAGCAAATAAAATAAAGTTTCTGTTCTATGGAGCTTACATTTTACTGGTGATAGATAGGTAATATGCAAATAGGAAAACATAAAATTACAGGTACCATAAAGATGAAAGGAGAGTTGAGAAGAAAAGAATGAAGGAGGGTTTCAGTTTTAGGGAAGATGGGGTAAACATGCTCCTCCCTGTTTCTCCCCTTGAATACAGCCATAAATCTTGGACAGAATACATGGAGGAACTATCATTGAACTTTCAAGTCAAATCCTCCCCCAAACTGGGGAGGGAAACCAGAATTCAAAGTTCTACCAAACCAGCAATGTTTACCATTTTCGCCTCTGGAGTTTCCTGGAGTGAAATCAAAGGTTTCCTAAAACCCAGAAGTACCAGGTACAGACAGAAACTCAAAAACTCTGGTACTCTGGTATTCTTATAGAATGTGATTTATTGATCACTAAGCATTCTTTGTTTGACATGTGTAAGAATATCTCAAAGTGGATAAAAAAGCAGTCAAAAGATATCAGCTATCATCAAATATTCTCAAAAGACAATCACATGTAAAATAAACACATGAAAAAGATACTTAACCCAACTAGTAATTTACAAAAAAGGAACAATGAGATCATATTTCTTATTACTCCTTTTTACCCATTTGACAAAGGCTTCTGAAGATAATACTCAATTCTGATCAGAATTTTCTGAAACAGTTTTGCTTTTTTGTTGCTGTTGGTGTGTGTGTGTGTGTGTGTGTGTGTGTGTGTGTGTGTGTGTGTGTGTGTGTATGGTAGTGGTGGTGATTTTAAAAATATGTAGTTTTAAAAATTGGAAAGAAAAGGTTAGCTATGATATCTCTGATTCTTATCTTTCTCTGTGATTTGCTGTATTTTCTAATTTTTCTACATTTACATTGTATTGATTTTATGGTCAAAAAAGCATATACATCTTTGTAAATAAATTTTTATACAACTTTATAGATAAATTTTTGAAGGCATGTGTTGACCTATAAAATGACACTTTCCTTTCTCTATCATTGATGTGTAGGTGTTCCCTCTGGCACATGTGTGCAATGACACAAATAAGATGACATTAATTAACCCCCAAGGAGTCAAGCTCAATATCTACAAGCAAAAAGTGGAACAGGCAATTAAGTCCTATGAAAAGTGAGTATTACTCCTGGCTGCTCTCTAAGGAATGTGGCATTTGTTTGTTTGGGCTTTTTCAAAATCTTGTTTTAGCTACAACTATTTAAAAATTGTTTATAAAAACTATCAACAACAGTGGCAGCAGCTAACATGGGGCCTCCTATATACCATGCACTACATTAAGTTCTGTACCTGAATATTTTCAACAGGGTTTTAAAGAAACCATTTTTTCTTTCCAAAAAGTCTATAGAAATCTCGTTTCCAAGAGATCTTTAAAGTTTTCCTTTTAGCTGAGTGAGTTTGATCATTTCCACATCTAACATTCTGTAAAGTAACATAAAACTTTATAATAATGAGATAAGGAAACAACATAAGTATATATTATTATTTACGATTTTTCTGTATCAAGTTCAAGGTCGTGATCAAGTTGACTATGGTGAACATCATGCTCTAAAATAACGCGTTTGTCCTTGCTGAGACAGGTGTCACTCCTCACAGGGGCAGCTGACCCAGTCTTCACCCTTGTCCATGCTGTAATCACTTCCCCACTCCACCCCTGCAGAACTTAATTAACCCTTGGTACACATCACTTAATTAAACTTCGATCATGCCCAGCTTCTTCAGGCAAGCCTGTCCTAAGTTCTGGAAGCAGTACCGTTGGATTTTCATTTACCACCATGTGGGTGGGAGAAATGAAATAAAGTACATGGAGTTAATGATGCGGTCTAGACCAGCATTTATGGATCTATTGTCATTTTGCAGTATGTCTAATGTGTGCTCAAAACAAACATTAAGGCCTGACTCCTGCCCACAGGGAGCACACAATCTAGTCCGATGTCACACCCTTCCCCACCATGCCCCCACCATTGGCCTCTCCAAATTCCCTTAAGCATGAACCTCTTCCACTGCCCTCACCTGAGACTTGGGCTTATCGAACCTGGGCTCCTTCAGTGGCCTCCATGGGCTTCTCAGCATTGCTGTCTTCACCTCTCCTTGATTCTTCTCTTAGAAGCAAGATGCACTACTCAAGGCTCACCCTTCCCTAGGAGTCTGAGACTTCCAGGCAGGACTTTCCTGGTCTCCCGCTGTGCCGCTCTTCTTCCTGTTATGCTGCTGTCTTCAGCTAGGTCTTTCATCCCTGCCTGCCTCTGCACCAGTGGGCCTCTGCAGAGATGCTTTTATGTAGTTCTTCTCCACTGCCCACCCTGTGTGTGGCCCTCGGAGCCCTCAGGGCTTCTGAACAGGCCGGTGGCTTGTTGACCATTTCTGCCCTTCTAGGATGTCAACTCCTGAGGCCAGGGACATGACCAGCTTTGCTTTCTCCTTCACCCCCTATTCCTAGCAGGTGTCTGTGTGTGTTCATGTGTGTGTATATACACATTTATATTTGATTACTCAAATTTGATAGAATTCAAGTTTAGTTATTAAAATTTTTCAAATTTGGTTAGTCAAAATGTAATATAAGACCATTGAAATTCTGATGTAATTTACTTGACTAATTCAAATATTTGAGTTTTATAATTATCTGGTATGTGAAATCCTGGTGCAGGGCCACAAGCTAGAACTCTGAGGTCAGACAGTTCTGGTGGGTTTCATTCTTGGTTCTGACACCACTCTGGGCAAATATGTGACACTCATGAGCCTCAGATTCCCTTTTCACAGAATGTCTCTCACAGGGCTGTTGTGAGGATTATGTCAATCACATATGAAGAGCAGTTCATGATAATTACTTTTCCCTTTTGTTCCCTGAATCTGCTGATCCTATCATGACCATAGATACATGGAGTATAATAGGCATATGGCTCTTTCCACCACATTAACCTTTTGTCAAGTGTTTCAGGAAGGACAGGGACTCCCATTCCCAGGTGAGAGAGAAGACTTCTTTTCAAAGAAGTCAAAAATCAAAATACAGACATAGTAAGCGATTTGTCCCACTTCTGACTTCCAGTGAGTGAATCTGGAACAGCTTTTGATACTCTATAGAGAAATGTCACTATATTATTAGTAGTAATAATAACATTAAATTTAACATGACATGCTGTTTAATAGTATTTAAAATTATTGATTAAATTATTATTAGTTATTTGGTATTCTTAATATGATGTTTATACAAAATAATGTATTTAACATTGTTTTTTAATAATATTAATGTGAATATTATATATAACAAAACTTCCTAAATTTTTGCATTCAATAGTGCTTGAGATTTTTGTTGGTATAAATGTGACTTCCCTTTTCCATTTTGCTCTACTTTTCTCAATATATGAAAAATATGAAAAGTAACAGATGAAACATTTACCCCCCCCACCCCCATCCCCAAGATAATTTTCCTAGGAGTTTCCCACCAAAAGTAAGCCAGATGTAATCTTAAGTATAACCTTCATATAACCTTAAATCCATATGGCTAGTGATGGTCAGACATGGGAAACTCCCAGTTCTTTGGTCAAAATAATGGCATAAACTAACTATTTTTATCATACTTTGTGCCCACGTGTGGGAGTCCTTCTGTTTCAATATTTTAAGAATCGAGGCAGCTATTTTGGCTCTGTGTGTCTGAGCGTAAGCTTTGGGTGAAAATTACCAAGGCTGGCTGGATTCTGGGGTAATTTTTCTCCAGGTTACCTTGACTGCAAATCTAAGGTCAAGGTCACAGCTCTCAGATCCACAGGAGACGCATCCATTCTAACCTGACTTGGAGACCATACTTACTAATTTGTACTTATGATCTCCAGATTGCTGGCTGGCTGGCTGGCTGCTCACCAGGCTTCTGAAGTGTCACTAGTTACAATTTGCTTTGCAAATGAGTCAATTCTTGGCACAAGCAGATTTGAGAACTAGAGATACAGAAAGCTAGTGAATGTAACCCTTTCACCAAATTTCACTTTCCTACAATAAACAAAGAGGAAAAGTGTCACTAGTAGAATCCCTGAATTGCGGGGCTAGACCAGCCTCAGAGAGGCCTTCATACCCAGTGCCCTCTCACATCCCATCAAAATTCCCACCATACCATACGCTTAATAGCTTTCCTGCAGTCAACTTCCCAGTCAGTGGAGCCACTGAAATATTTCAGTGAATATGGAAAATAGGGAAATAGCAGGAGTGAAGAAAAGAGGCTCTTGGAAAAATCTTTTCAGAAGGATGAAATTAAAGTTAGAGACATGTTCTAGCAAACAGGAACCACATTCACCAATGGTTTCTAAGCCTCACTCTTTTTCAGAACCTGGAGGAAATGAACATTGAATTAGTCACTTTATATATACATCTCACTTAATCCTCACAAGGATACCAAGGGGAGGTGATGTTATTCTTGTCTTATGGATGAAAAAACAGAATTCCAAAAAGCTGTATAACACAGGAACACACAGTAAGGAGTAGAGTAAGGATGCCAATATTTGAACCCAGAACTTTGTTCCAAAGCTCTTATCTACACTCTCAGCCTCTCTACCACACTGCTTCCACTTTTATCATTTAGACTTAAGAGTATTTTGAATAGTTTTTTTTAGAAAAGCATCCCCCAAGAAAAGAAAATACAGACTACAAATCCTTTTAACAAGTTTTAGAAGCCTTGAGCATTGTTACATAAATCACATGATTAAAGAAAGTCCATTTGCAAGTAGGCCCCATTGAACCAAAAATTTCAGGTGAGACAGAAGCTCTGAGCTGGCTTCTCTCCCTCTCCCTGACTCTTTTCTATCACTTACAGAACATTTATCTGTGTCAGACACAATCTGTGTGCTGTGCACATGCTAGCTCATTGAATTCTCACAGCAACACTAGGAGGGAGAGATACTATTATTATCTCCATTTTACAGAAAAGTTGAATACTGGCCCAAAGTCTCAAAACTAGGAAGAAGGAAGCTAACTGAGGTTTGAACCCAGGCATTGGGGCTCCAGAGTTCGTCCTGTTCACCACCACACCAGACTCCCTTCCCAAGTTCTCACCAGGTTCATCATGGGAGAGCAGGGCCTCCACCCCGAACCCTGTCCCACTGATGTTGGCCACACTGGTTAGAAGAATGCCTCCTGAAGAGTGTTCGCTGATCTCATTTGATTGAAGCAATGTTTTAAAAATGGACCATCAGTTCACAATGTTCCTGGAGCCCTGCAGTCCTGGAAGCCTGCCTGCTTTGGGGTCATGATATAGTGGTACAGAACCAGACTGGAACCTCTAAAAGCATCACTGATTGGTAACAAAAAGAGGAGCTGTCACCACCCTGTAGAAACTACTAGCTCCAATCTCCTGCTTTCCTCTTGGGTTGACAGCTTCTCTCTGAAATCGTGATCAGTGGTGAGCTGTAGTCTCAGCACCACCAACTAGAAGGCATGGATGAGCAAAATGTTTCACTTGTCTGCCCTACTCAGCGGCCTCGTTTGGAAATGGTTGGTCTCTAAAGTGTGTCCTGATCCTATTATTTATGACCCTGTTAATCTCTTTTGCTCTGGGAATCCAGGGAGAAGAATGTCTACAACAGCAAGCTAAGGGGGACAGTTATGTTTTTCTTAGGAAAATAAAATGATGGGTGTCTAGAAACATCTTCAGAGACAATGAGGACCCATTTGTTTACTGCCTTTACTCAGCCTGAATTTTACCTGACTATGCTGAGAGCCAGGCCCTCCTTTAATATTTGACACAATTGCTGGAAAGCCAGGAGGCTTCTGCAGTGATGCTGGGGAGCTATTCACATTCCATCTGTTTACACACATAATGCTGGCTGGTTTAATGGGGTTGGAGCTTAGCTAAGCTCCCCCCGCAGTGTCTGGGGTCAGCTGTTTCCAGGAAATCAAGTATTCCTACTAAATTGTCGTTCATTTTTTTTTACAACAGGCGCTTGAACAAAATTGTTTGGCGAGCATTATCTCAAGAAGAAAAAGAAAAGTAAGCCATTTCATTCCCTTCTTTAAAAAAAATTTTTGCTAAAATTCACATAACCTAAAATTAAACATTTTAAAGTATTAAATGCAGTAGTATTTTGGATAGTCACAATGTTGTGCAAGCCATGACCTTTTTTTTCATTTCAAAACAATTTTTTTGGTCACTCCAGAAAAACACCTTGTACCCACAATCACTTGCCATTCCCCTCTCCCCAGTCCCCTGGTGACCACTCATCTGCTCAGTTTCTATGAATTCATCTACTTTGGATACACAATATGAAAGGAATCGTACAACATGCGACATTTTGTATCTAGTCCCTTTTACTTGGTTAACATAAAACTTAATGTTTTCAAGATTCATCCAAGTTGTAGCATGTATCAGTACTATGCGTGTGTGTGTGTGTGTATGTGCGTATGTGTATGTGTATGTGTGTGTGTGTGTGTGTGTGTGTGTGTGCATGCATATATATCACTATTCTAGTGATAGATATTTGGGTTGTTTCCACTTTTTTGGCTATTATGAACAATGTTGCTATGTACATTTGTGCAGAAGTTTCTGGTTGGACATATATTTTCATTTCTCTTGGACATATATCTAGGAATGGATTTTGAGGTCACATGGTAATTCTATGCTTAATTTTTTGAGGAGTCATCAAAATGGTTTCCCTAGCAGCTACGCCATTTTGTAAATTATTTCTTTATTTTATTGACACATAATAATTGTATATATTCACAGGGTCCATGTGATGTTTTGATTCATGCATAGAATGTGTAATGATCAAATCAGAGTATTTATTATTTCTTTGTGTTGGAAACAAAGAAATATTTTCTTCTAGCTATTTTGAAATATACATTACTGTTAACTGTAGTCACCCTACTGTTCTATTAAATAGTAGACCTCATTTCTTCCATCTAATTGTATGTTTGTATCCATTAACCAACTTCTTTTCATCTCCTCCCCAACACACATACACTCTTCCCAGCCTCTGGTAACTATCATTCTACTCTATCTTCAGGAGATCAACATTTTTTGGCTCCCACATATGATATTTGTCTTTCTGTGCCTGCTTATTTCACTTAACATAATGACCTTCAGTTTCATCCTTGCTGCTGCAAATGACAGTATTTTATTCTTTTTTTATAGCTGCATAGTATTCCATTGTGCATATATACCACATTTTCTTTATTCATTCATTCATTGATGGACACTAAGTTTGAGTCCATATCTTTGATATTGTCCTTAGTGCTGCAGTAAACATGGAGTTCAGGTATCCCTTGATATACCAGTTTCTTTTCCTTTGGATAAAGACCCAGTAGTGAGATTTCTGGGTCATATGGTGAGTTCTTCTTGCTCCACATCCTCACTAAAACTTGCTGTTTTCCTTTTCTTAAAGAATTAAAGTCATCCTAGTGGTATGAAGGGCTATCTTATTGTGGTTTTGATATGCATTTGCTTAGTGGTCAATGGTGTTGAACCTCTTTTCATGTGTTTGTTGTGTATCTTCTTTGGAGAAATGTCTATTCAAGTCCTTTGTCCATTTTTAAATTGTGTTGTGTTTTTGTTGCAACAGAGTTGTAAAACTTCTGAGCATTAAACCATTATCAGATGTATGATTTGCCAGTATTTTCTCCCATTCTATCTGTTGTCTTTTCACATTCTTCATAAAATCCCTTGATGTCAAAAAGTTCTTAATTTTTAAGAAGTCAATTTATCTTTTTGCTGTTGTTGTTTGTGCTTTTAGTACCAAATCTAAGAATCCATTGCCAAATGCAAACTCATGAAAACTTATCCTCTTGTTTTATTCAAATATGTTTATGGTTTTAGTGCTTATATTTAAGTTGTTGATCTCTTTTGAGTGACGTTTTGTATAGGGATTGAGCAGGGTTCCAGCTTCATTCTTTTGCATGTGGATATCCAGTTTTCCCAGCACCATTTGTTTGAGTCTAATCATTCTTCCATTGAATGGTCTTGGCAGCCTTGTCAGAAATCAATTAACCATAAATAAATGTTTGGGGATTTTTCTGGACTTTCTATTCTATTCCATTCATCTGTATGCTTATCCTTATGCTAGTATGTCACTGTTTTAATTACTGCAAATTTGTAGTAAGTTTTGAAATTGGGAAGTATGAGTCCTTCAACTTTGTTCTTCTATTTCCGGATTGTTTGGACTATTCAGGGCCCCTTGAAATTCCATATGAATTTGAGAACTGGCTTTTCCATTTCTGCAAAAAAAAAAAAACAAAAAGCCACTGGAATTTTGATACAGAGTGCATTGAATCTGTAGATTGCTTTGGAGAGTATTACCATTGTAACAATATTATGTCTTTCAACCCACGAACAAAGAATGTCTTTCTATGTATTTAGGTCTTTAATTTCCTTCAACAATGTTCTATAGTTTCAGTGTACAAGTCTTTCAAATTCTAAGTTATTTTTTTTCTTTTGGATGCTGTCATAAATTGGATTTTTAAAATTGAATTTTCAGATTTTTTTTGCTGGTACATGGAAACACTATTGGTGTTTTTTATTTCAACCTTGTACCTTGCAACTTTACTGAATGTTATTAGTTCTAGTGGTTTAGAAAGCAGTCTATGAGATTTTCTATGTGTGAAAACATGTTATCTGAAAATAGAAATAATTTTGCTTATTCTTTTCCAATTTGGATGCCTTTCATTTCATTCTTTTGCCTAATTGATTTGGCTAGGACTTCTGGTATAACACTGAACAGCATTGGTGAAAGAGAACATTCTTGTTTGTTCCTGAGCATAGGGAGAAAGCTGTCCATCTTTCATCGTTTAGTATGATATTAATTGCCAGTTTTTCATAAATTCCCTTTATTGTGTTAAGGAAATTCCCTTCTATTTTTAGTTGCTGATTGTTTTTATTATAAAAGGTGCATGTGTGTGTGTTGAATTTTGTCACATGTTTTTTATGCATCTATTGAGATGATTATGTGGGTTTTTTTTTCTTTTGCACTACTGATGTGGTTCATTAAAGCATTTTATTTTCTTTGGTTGAATTACTCTTGCATTCCTGGAATAAATCCCATGGTTATGGCATATAATCCTTCTACTGTTCTGTTGGATTTGATTTACTAGCATTTTGTTAAGGATGTTTATGTATGTATTATTTTTTTAACTTTTAAATTTTTTATTTTAAAATTATGGGGCACATTATGTATATATTCTTAAAGGAAAATGATCTGTCGTTTTCTCTGGTATCTTTGCCTGGCTTTGGTATCAGGGTAATTCTGATATTGTTGACTGTGCTGAGAAGTATTCTCACTCTTCTATTTTTTTTTTTTTTTTGGAAGAGTTTAAGCTAGGATTGTTGTTAATTATTTATATGTTGGAGAAATTCACCAGTTAAGTCATTTGCTTCTGGCCTTCTCTTTAATGTTGTTGTTGTTTTATTTCTTATTCAATGTGTTTAATTGTTATAGGATGTTGAGATGATCTATTTCTTCTTGAGTCAGTTTTGGTGATCTGTGTGTTTCCAGAAATTTGTACATTTCATCTAGACTATCTAATTTTTGTCATACAGTTGTTTATAGTATTCTCTGTAATTATTTTGATTTTTGTAAGGTCAATAGTAATGTTTCTACTTTCATTTCTGATAATAGTAATTGTGTCTTTTCTCCTTTTAGTCAGTTTATCTAAAGGTTTGTCAATTTTGTTGATATTTTCAAAGAACCAAGTCCACCCATTACAAATAGAAATAAATAAAATTATTGCTATACACAGATGACATGTTTTTACATATAGAAAATCCCATCGATTACCCCTGAAACAACTAGAACTAATAAATTTAATAAAGTTGCAAGATACAAGATCAAAATAAAAACACCAGTTGTGTTTCTATTTGCCAGTAATGAACAATCTAATAATAAAAAGAACCAATTCAAATTAAGTTCACTGATTTCTTCTTGGTCCTCCTCAAATCTGCTGCTGAAATTCTCTAATGAATTTTTTATTTCAGCTATTGTATTTTTCAGATCTGGTATTTCTATTTAGTTCCCTTTCATAATTTCTATCTTTGTATTGATATTTGCTAGTTGCTTACACATCATTCTCTTGATTTCCTTTTGTTCTTTGTCCATAGTTTTCTTCACCTCCTTGAGTATATTAAAAATAGTAAATCCAATGTTGACTTCTTTCTGTCGACTTATTTTCTTCCCATAAATGGGCCATATTTCCTTTTTTTCTATGTTAGGTAGTTTTTTTCTTGAGAATTAAATATTTTGGATATTGTAATGTGGTACTTCTGGAAATCTGAAACTCCTTCTTTCTCATCAAATGTTGTTGCTTAAGAAGGCAACAGTTATCTGTTTAGTATTTTTCCAAATTATTTTTACAAAATTATATTCTTTGCCATGTGTGGTTACTGAAGTCTCTATTCCATTATCTCTGTAGTCAGCCAGTTATTTGAAAGGGATTTCCTTAAATGCCAGCCTCCATCTTCATCAGGCACTACCTGGGATACTACAAGTATTCAGCTAGATGTTAAAGGTTTAAATTTTAGAGATTTCGAAACTATTCATTTCACACATGCTACTCCTTCTACTTTGGTGTCCCCTCCATACTCACTGGATGACAGGCTCCTTGTGATTGTCATTTCATCAGTGCTCCTATTTATCTCTCTTTTGGAACTATTTGCTTTTTTGGCATTTGTCATAATTTATAATTTTATATTTTTTAATCTTTCCTTGCTTATTTTCTTTCTCTACCAGATTGTAAATTTTACAAGGCTGGGAATGATGGTTATTTATTCTTTGAAGAATATTCAGTCAGTATCTAATAGCCTAGCATGCCTAGCACAGAACAGGCATGCTGTAAATATTTGTTGAATAAATTTATGAATAAAGTCTATTTATTGGATATAGAAACTTTAAGGATTTTTTATCATTTCTCTTTCTTCTATAATTTTTTGATGTCTTTAAGAGTTTTAATAGTTGAATTTCTGTATCTGAAATCAGGGAATGATTGCTTTTCTTCTTAAGAATATCT